CATAACAGCCGACGGTCGCTCTCCGCTCGTATTAATCGAAATAAATACCGAATATTATCGCGAAAATATTCTGGAGGGGGTGTATTAAAGACTTGGGCACACAAACATATTGGCCGCAGACCTTGGACATTCCAGCAGGACTCAGCACCATCGCAGCACTCAGCACGCGCCACCCCAGAATGGTTACAAAATGAGGTTCCCCACTTCATTTCCAGCGCACAATGGCCACCAAAATCTCCGGATACCAAACCGTTGGACTATTGTGCCTGGAGTATTTTGGAAAGCAAGGTTGGCACTAAAAAATACCAAAGTGGCGATCACCCCAAGCAAGCGTTTCACCGGGAATGGGCCAAAATAGCGCAGAGCAATATTCGGGCAGCGTGTGACGGTTTCATTGGCCGTTTGAAGGCCAAAGGTGACCACCTCGAACAAATCTAAACTTATTCTAAAATTTGATGCTATTTCCGACATTTTTATACCCCGTCCATCATAGTACGGAGGGTATATTAAGTTTGTCATTCCGTTGGTAACACAGCGAAACATACATTTTAGACCCCACAAAACAGATATATTCTTGATCAGCATAAAATTCTATGTCGATTTAGCGATGTCCGTCCGTCTGTCTGCCTGTGGAAATCACTCTAGCTTCCGAACGAAATGAAGTAGGTCGATAAAATTTTACTGAAATGTGTATAATGTCTGCAGGACTTTTGGTATTGAAAATGGGTCATGTAGGTCCAGGATTTGATATAGCCCCCATATAATGGTACCTCCCGATATTCGGTATTTTGATGATTTTAGCGACATTATTCATCGGAATTGTTTCATATTTGGTATTTGAAATTCGTAACGGATACTGCAGCCTAAGGCAGCAAATTGTATGTGCAGGTCTACGTCTTCGTATAGCCCCCATATAAAAGTACCTCCCGATACTCTGCATTTTTATGATTTGTGCGCCATTATTCACCGGAATTGTTTCAAATTTGGTATTTGAAGTTCCTAGTAGATACTAAGGCCTATGGCAGAAAATTGTCTGTGCAGGTCCACGTCTTCGTATAGCCCCCATATAAAGGTACCTCCCGATATTCGTTATTTTGATGATTTTAGCGACATTATTCACCGCAATTGTTTCAAATTTGGCATTTGAAGTTCGTAATAGATACTACAGCCTGTGAAAGAAAATTGTCTATGCAGGTCCACGGCTTCGTATAGCTCCCATATAATGGTACCTCCCGATATTCGATACTTTGTTGATTTTAGCGACATTATTCACCGGATTTGTTTATAAATTGGTATTTAAAGATCGTAATGGATACTGAAACCGCAGGCAGAAAATCGTCTGTACAGGTCCACGTCTTCGTATAGCCCCCACATAACGGTACCTCCCGATATTCGGTATTTTGATGATTTTGGCGACATTATTTACTAGAATTGTCTCAAAATCGGTATTTGAAGTTCGTAATGAATACTACAGCCTAAGACAAAAAATTGTCTGTGCAGGTCCAAGTCTTCGTACAGCCCCCATGTAACGTTACCTCCCGATATTCGGTATTCTGATGATTTTAGCGACATTATTCATCGGAGTCTTTTCAAATTTGGTATTTGAAGTTCGTAATGGATACTACAGCCTGTAAGAGAAAATTATCTGTGCAGGTCCACGTTTTCGTATTGCCCCCATATAACGATACCTCCCGATATTTGGTATTTTGATGATTTTAGTGACATTATTCACCGGAAATGTTTCAAATTTGGTATTTGAAGTTCGTAATGGATACTACAGCCTATGACAGGAAATTGTCTGTCCAGATCCACGTCTTCCTATAGCCCCCATATAAAGGTACCTCCCGATACTCTGCATTTGTATGATTTGTGCGCCATTATTCACCGGAATTGTTTCAAATTTGGTATTTGAAGTTCGTAATAGATACTGTAGCCTAAGGCAGAAAATTATCTCTGCAGGTCCACGTCTTCATATAGCCCCCATATAACGGTACCTCCTGATATTCGATATTTTTATGATTTTAGCGACATTATTCACAGGAATTGTTTGAAATTTGTTATTTGAAGTTCGTAATGGATACTGCAGCACGAGGCAGAAAATTGTCTGTGCAGGTCTACGTCTTCGTATAGCCCCCATATAAAGGTACCTCCTTATATTCGGTATTTTGCTGATTTTAGCGACATTATTTATCGGAATTGTTTCAAATTTGGTATCTGAAGTTCGTAATGGATACTGCAACCTTAGACAAAACATTTTCTGTACAAGTCTACGTCTTCGTATAGTCCCCATATTACGGTACCTCGCGATATTCGGTAATTTGATGATTTTAGCGATATTATTCACCGAAATTCTTTCAAATTTGGTATTTGAAGTTCGTAATGAATACTACAGCCTAAGACATAAAATTGTCTGTGCAGGTCCATGTCTTCATATAGCCCCCATATAAGGCTACTTCTTGGTATTTTAGTGATTTAAGCGACATTATTCACTAGAATTCTTTCAAATTTGGTATTTGAAGTTTGTAATAGATACTGCATCCTGTGACTGAAAATTGTCTGTGCAGGTCCACGCCTTCATATAGCCACCATATAACAGAATCTCCCGATATTCGGTATTTGGATGATTTTAGCGACATTATTCATCGGAATTGTTTAAATATGGTATTTGAAGTTCGTAGTGAATACTACAGCCTATGACAGAAAATTGTCTGGGCAGGTCCACGTCTTCGTATGGCCTCCATATAACTGTACCTATCGATATTAGGTATTTGGATAATTTTAGCGACATTATTCACCGAAATTGTTTCAAATTTGGTATTTGAAGTTCGTAATGGATACTACAGCCTATGACAGAAAATTGTCTGTGCTGGTCAACTTTTTGGTAGAGCCCCCATATAATAGTACCTCCCTATTTTGATGATTTTATCTACATTATTTATCGATTTTTATTTTCAAGTTTCACATTTGAATATTGTACTGGCTTGTGAAAAAAGTTGTCTATGTAGGTCCATGTCATCGTTTATACCCTAATATGAGGGCTACATTTGGTATTTTTAATATTTCAACAGAATTTTTAACGAATTTTATTTTATTTTTTTTTTTTAATTGTCAAATGCGTTCCAAATGGTGGAGGGTATTCAAAGTTCGGCCCGGCCGAACTTAAGCCTGGGAATACATAAAGCGCTTATTTGACTGACCGCTTAAGTCATCGGCTGGCTTCTTTGGAAATTAACAAAGGAGCCTAGGGCCAAAATCGAACTAAGTCAACCTAAAACTCCTTTGTTCATCTACGTAGAAGCCAGCCCATGACTTAAGCCAGCCAAATATGTGTTTTATGTTTTTCCACCCTTACTGCTTTTTTACCTGGTTCATTATTCGGTTCTATATAAAAATTAAAATTAATACAAAATGTTAAAAAAAAAAGTTTTACACTTACCATTTCAAAGCAGTGTTAACTGTCTAAAGGATCGATAATCGAATTATATAACCCTGGATTGTGGGTCTTTGAAGTGAAGACGGCTGCAATGTGATGGCTGCTGCTAATGCTTCATACATATATGTCGGTATATTATCTATGTTTTAACTATGGCAGGAATCCATTAAAGTAGGCGACAACTAAAATTTCCGTTGTCAAGTAAAGAAAAAAAGTATTCAAAACGAACAATTTTTTAATGCCGTTTTACTGAAAAAAAATACAAAAAAAAAGAGAATCTATTAATATTTAGAAGTTAACCTTTTAGCCTCGTTGTTTTTTTCTGTTTTTTTTTTTCTACTGTATTCAATATTCTTGTGAAATAATTATACAAGAACGAAACGAAACGGGGGAAAAAATAAATAACAGCAACAAGAGTCACTACGACGAAATAATGAAATACCAACAACAACAACAACAGCAATAACCCATAACATTCTACTTAAGAAAGTAGCTATAGAATTGAAAACAAAACCGTGGTATGCCATTGGCTGGCATTTAAATGTACACACACACATACTTATAAATCTATATACATACATACATATACACTTATAAATCTAGATATGTTTTTTTTACGTAAATAAAATAAAATCGGTTTTATTTCTCTACAGGGTTATATTTATTCAAATTTTAATAGCAACAACAACAACGGCAAAGTTCGCAGCAAATAAACAAACAAAAATTATTCCAGCCTAAAACCCAACGGAACTCTCTAAGGCTATCCTTAACTTTTACTTAAGTTATGGAGAATTTCGAAACACAAGCTACAAAAAAATAATCCATAGTTTAACATTTAAAACACAAAAACAAACATATCAGCCGATCTTTTTTGTTGTTGTTTTGTATAACTAGCGTGTAGGTTATGCAGGGTGCACCAGTAAATTTGGCTGCATGGTATTCATAGAGCATTGAAAAAAAAATAATATAATACTTCCAGAACTAAATACCAGTTGTTCTTATCGCAAAAAAACATAATTTGGAAGAAAAAAACCAAAAAAACCAAAAAAAGAAAAAAAATAATAAAAAATAACTAAATACTTTTCTCTAAATTAAGGCTGCCTTAGTTTATGGGATTTGAAAACATTACACTTTATCTTTTGATTCAAAAATCTGAAAACTAAGGCTGGAAATACATAGAAGCATGGTAGAAGAATATAGGTAGATGCATCAGTAGATGGTCTAATACCATGTTCTCACTGGCATTTGATTTACGGCGTTTGACTTCATACATTTAAAAATAAGTTTCTGATTAATTTTTTACAGTTTCAAATTTTGAGACAACAATTTTTTACTCCAGGTAATTGGTGATAGCTCTGCGTTTACAAAAGCCAAGCCAATTAAGTTCGCGTTATAACTGTCAAAATAAAAATTTAGGCTTTTTTTGACGTAAAAACATGAATAACAAGTTAAAAAGCCGGGCCAAACTTTGAATGCCCTCCACAATTTGGAACGAATTTGAAAAAAAAAAACAGTAAATTTGGCTGCATGGTATTCTTCGGGCATTGAAAAAAAAAATACATAATACTTCCAGAACTAAATACCAGTTTTTCTTATCGCAAAAAAAAAAAAACACAATTTGAAAGAAACAACAAAAAAAAGAAAAAAAAATAATAAAAAATAACTAATTACTTTTCTCTAAATTAAGGCTGCCTTAGTTTATAGGATTTGAAGACATTACTGTTTATATTTTGGTTCAAAAAGTGCCAGATCCCAGAAGAGCGAAGATTTTCTCCAGTAAATCTGAGAACTAAGGTGTAAATACATAGAAGCATGGTAGAAGAATATTACACACGAAGTGTGATAATATTACACATTTGTGCGAAAAAATACACATATATCAACATTTTTTTAATAAAAGTAATTTTTTTTAACAAAAATCACTATATGTTCCAAAAATACGTAGATTCATTTTATATCAAATTTATAAAATAATTTATAACTAAAAGAATATATATTTGTGCTCGTTTCTAAAATTTGTTTTACAATTGATTAAAGTGCTAAATACTTGATTACATGGGCTATACATGCCACAAAAAATTACACATAATATGTATTATTACACATGAGGTGGCAACACTGATATCATCAGAAGATGGTCTAATACCACGTTCTCACTGGCATTTGATTTACGGCGTTTGACTTCATACATTTAAAAATAGGTTTCTGGTTAATTTTTTACAGTTTCAAATTTGAGACAACAATTTTGTTACTCCAGGTAATTGGTGATAGCTCTGCGTTTACAAAATTAAGTTCGCGTTATAACTGTCAAAATTAAAATTTAGGTTGCCCTCCACAATTTGGAACGAATTTGAAAAAAAAAACCAGTAAATTTGGCTGCATGGTATTCATAGAGCATTGAAAAATAAAATAATATAATACTTCCAGAACTAAATACCAGTTGTTCTTATCGCAAAAAAACATAATGTTAAAGAAACAAAAAAAAAAAAAATAAAAAAATAACTAATTACTTTTTTCTAAATTAAGGCTGCCTTAGTTTATGAGATTTGAAGACATTATAGTTTATATTTTGGTTCAATAAGTCCCAGATCCCAAATGAGCGAAGATTTTCTCCACCAAATCTAAGAACTAAGGTGTAAATGCATAGAAGCATGGTAGAAGAATATTACACACAGAGTGTGATAATATTACACATTTGTGGGAAAAAAATACACATGTATCAACATTTGTTTAATAAAAGTAATTTTTTTTTAACAAAAATCACTATATGGGCCAAAAATACGTAGATTCATTTTATATCAAATTTAAATAATAATTTATAACTAAAAAAATATATTTGTGCGTGTTTCTAAAATTTGTTTTGCAATTATTTAAAGTGCAAAATACTCGATTACATGCAACAAAAAATTACACACAAAATGTGTAATTACACATGAGGTGGCAACACTGATATAGGTAGATGCATCAGTAGATGGTCTAATACCATGTTCTCACTGGCATTTGATTTACGGTGTTTGACTTCATACATTTAAAAATAAGTTTTTGGTTAATTTTTTACAGTTTCAAATTTGAGACAACAATTTTACACTCCAGGTAATTGGTGATAGCTCTGCGTTTACAAAAGACAAGCCAATTAAATTCGCGTTATAACTGTCAAAATTAAAATTTAGGTTGCCCTCCACAATTTGGAACGAATTTGTAAAAAAAACAGTAAATTTGGCTGCATAGTATTCATAGAGCATTGAAAAATAAAATAATATAATACTTCCAGAACTAAATACCAGTTGTTCTTATCGCAAAAAACATAATTTGAAAGAAACAAAAAGAAAAAAAAATAATAAAAAATAACTAATTACTTTTTTCTAAATTAAGGCTGCCTTAGTTTTTAAGATTTGAAGACATTATAGTTTATATTTTGATTCAAAAAGTCCCAGATCCCTGAAGAGCGAAGATTTTCTCCAGTAAATCTGAGAACTAAGGTGTAAATACATAGAAGCAGGGTAGAAGAATATTCCACACGGAGTATGATGATATTACACATTTGTGGGAAAAAATAGAAAAAAGTATCAACATTTTTTTAATAAAAGAAATTTTTTTAAACAAAAATCACTATATGGGCCAAAAATACGTAGATTCATTTTATATCAAATTTATATAATAATTTATAACTAAAAAAATATATTTGTGCGTGTTTCTTTATTTAGCATTATTTAAAGTGCTAAATACTCGATTACATGGGCTATACATGCCACAAAAAATTACACACAAAATGTGTAATTACACATGAGGTGGCAACACTGATATAGGTAGATGCATCAGTAGATGGTCTAATACCATGTTCTCACTGGCATTTGATTTACGGTGTTTGACTTTATACATTAAAAAAATAAGTTTTTGGTTAATTTTTTCACAGTTTCAAATTTAAAATAACAATTTTACACAACAGGTATAAAAGACAAGCCAATTAAGTTTGCATTATAACTGTCAAAATAAAAAATGTAGGTTTTTTATGTAAAATCATGAATAAGAAATTAAAAAGCCGGGCCAAACTTTGAATGCCCTCCACCATTTGAAAGGATTTTGAAAAAACAGTAAATTTGGCTGCATGGTATTCATCGAGCATTGAAAACAATACTTATAATACTTCCAGAACTAAATACCAGTTGTTCTTATCGCAAAAAAACATAATTTGGAAGAAACAAACCAAAAAAAATAAATAAAATAACTAATTACTTTTTTCTAGATTAAGGCTGCCTTAGTTTATGGGATTTGAAGATATAACAGTTAAAGCTGAGAAAAAAACAGTTAAAGCTGACAATTAAGGTGGGAATACATGAGGCGCTTATCTGGCTGGCTTAAGGGTGGAAATACATAAAACGCATATTTGGCTGGCTTAAGTCATCGGCTGGCTCCTTTGTAGATGAACAAAGAAGTTTTAGGTTGACTTAGTTCGATTTTGTCCCTAGGCTCCTTTGTTCATTTCCGAAGAAGTCAGCCGAAGACTTTAGCCAGCCAGATAAGCGCTTTATGTATTCCTACACTTAAGTCATCGGTTGGCTATTTTGGAAATGAACAAAGGAGCCTAAGGCCAAAATCGAACTAGGTCAACCTAAAACTCCTTTTTTCATCTACGAAGAAGCCAGCCGATGACTTAAGCCAGTCAAATGTGCGCTTTATGTATTTCCACCCTTAGAATTAAAGGTGGGAATACATAAGGCGCTTGTTTGGCTGGCTTCTTCGTAGAGGAACAAAGGCGTTTTAGGTTGACTTAGTTCGATTTTGGCCCTAGGCTTCTTTGTTCATTTACGAAGTAGCCAGCCGATGACTTGAGCCAGCCAGATAAGTACTTTATGTATTTCCAGCCTAAGCCAGCCAGATAAGTGCTTTATGTATTACCACCTTAAATCTGCCTTAGCTTATGAGATTTGAAGACATTACAGTTTATCATGGCATAATTACAGAAGGTAGAACAAAGCTACTCCCAAAATACAATTTTTTTATACCCTCCACCATAGTATGGAGGGTATATAAAGTTTGTCATTCCGTTTGTAACTCCTCGAAATACTCATGTTAGACACCACAAAGTATATATATTCTGGATCAGCGTAAAATTCTCTTTCGATTTATCGATGTCCGTCCGTCTGTGGAAATCACTCTAGCTTCCGAACGAAATGAAATAGATTGATAAAATTTTACTCAAATGTGTATTATGTCTACAGGACTTTTGGTATTGAAAATGGGCCATATAGGCCCACCTTTTCGCATAGCTCCCATATAACGCTACCTCCCAATATTCGGTATTTTGATGATTTTAGCGACATTATTCACCGGAATTATTTCAAATTTGGTATTTGAAGTTCACCGGAATTGTTTCAAATTACGTATTTAGAGTTCGTAATGGGAACTACAGTCTGTGACAGAAAATTCAATCTTGTAAAATTACACTCTGAAATTCCATTCTTGTTTCGCTAGTCTTTCCCGAATATAAGAATTTCGTTAAAAAAAGATTAAAAATAAACAAAGCCAACAGTTGCACATTTAAATGTCTATTTGACACAATAAGACTCCAGCACAGAGTTGCATTTTTCAAGTTTCTTTGAAGTTAAGCAACCTTTCTGATTGAGTCATGCAGTTTATATTTCGGTTTAAAAAGTCCCAGATCCCTGAAGAGCGAAGATTTTCTTCAACAAATCTGAGTATAAAGGTGCGAATACGTAGAAGGTTTTATTTAATGATCTAATACCATGTTCTCATTGGCATTTGAAATACTGTGTTCGACTTCATGCATTTAAAAAAATAAGTTTTTGGTCAATATTTTCAAAGTTTCAAATTTGAGACCACAATTTTAACAGTTTTACACTCCTGGTAATTTGTGATAACCGAATAAGTTCGCGTTATAACAGTAAAAATAAAAATGTAGGTCTATGTGACTTAAAAACATGAACAAATGTATTAATTTTATGATTTCTTTTTATCACGAAAAAAAGCTTTTCGTAGTAAAGTTGTTCACATTCATGGCAGAATCAGGAAGGTGAAGTCATGCAAACATATATTTACAGTTTTTTTTCAAAATTATTCGTTTGGCAACATCTCATTTTTGAAATATATACTTATAAATCCATTGTAAATACATAAATCAAGGTGGGAATACGTAAAGCGCTTATTTGGCTGGCTTAAGTGATTGGCTGGCTTCTTCAAAAATTAACAAAGGAGCCTAGGGCCAAATTCGAAATAAGTCAACCTTGAACTCCTTTGTTATTTTACGAAGAAGCCAGCCATGTAAGCGCCTTATGTATTCTCACCTTCAGAAATGGAAACTCAGTTTTTATACAGTGAAATTTGACATGGTAAATAACAGAAAATGCAAAGATGGGTATGCTTATCTAATATGACTTTACCTTCTTAATTTTACCATGTTCACATTCTTGAAACAGGTCTTATTCCAAGTTCATATGGCAATAGTGATTCGCTCTCTATTCTTTGTGTCAACCTTTCATTAGTAAATATTTCCTTAATTTTAACGTGCGCCCTACAATGTGTGTTTCTTCCAATCATTGATTTTGAACATATTTTGTTATTGTTTTTCAAAAAAAAAAAAAAAAACAAATAAATAAATAAATACATACACAAAATTGGGAGAAGTCGGGCACACTTAGAAACAAATTGTAATCAGCTGGTAGCTCTACCTTACCTCTTAATTGTACCATGCTCACAAGGAACTCCTTGTGTAGAATTTCAGAGAATTCCATTGAAAAATGTGTCTAAAATCAACAAAAACACAGAATATCGGGGGTATCGTTATATGGGGGCTATACGATATAGTGGACCTCTATAAATAATTCTCTTCCAGGCGGTAAAATACTCACAAAAAACTCCAATGTAGAATTTCAGACAATTCCATTGAGAAATATTGTTAAAATCATCAAAATACCGAATATCGGTACCGTTATATGGTGGCTACACTATATCGTGGACCGATATAGCCCATCTTCTAACTTGACTTGCCGGCAGACAAAAGACAGATCGTTGCAAAATTTTAGCTTTATATCTTTATTCGTTTTTACTCTAGCGTGATTACAACATACGGACAGGCGGACGGACGGAAAGGACTAAATTGTCTTAGTATTTTACGCTGATGAAGAATATATATACTTTGTTGGGTCTAAAATTATTATTTCGATGAGTTACAAACGGAATGACGAACTTCTGGTGGAGTGTATAAAAAAGCCCGTATGCGAACTAAACCAAATATCAGCTGGCTGTCATTTTATATAATTTCAAAGTATTCTAGACAAGTAGGATTAGAAAGTTGGACTTAGAAAATGCCTAGTCTAAATGGGCTTTAAGCTAACTAATATTCCATGGTAGAAGAATACAGGTATTCACATCGACGCAGCTGCTGGGACAATGAACTGTCAAACCAATTTTAGAATTGAAATTTTTGAATGAAAAATTATTTAAATTTGTAAAACTTATTGAAAAATGCTTATTATAACAACCTTCGATTGGTGTCGTGTTTTAAAAATCTACTTATTTTTGGAAAAAGAATTTTTCAAATTTTGATATATCAATGTTCTCAAGCTTTGATGCAGCTACCATGCCAATATTCTTAATATGCACAATGATTTCCCATCAATTGAAAAATGTTTTTCAGGCCACCTTTAATTCCATCCAAATCTAAAATCATTTTTATCGATAACATGTTCTATGATGTGTACCCAACATGATGTTCTATGGTGTGTACTCAACATAAAATGTGCACTCCAATAAGAAAACCGGCACTTCAGGTGTTCATCTCCTCTCACACATCACATTTGACATCCGTACCCCATGCATTTACCGCTATATCATCATTGTAAAACAAAAACATGTGTTTTTCACATCATTGAGTGAGCCAATGTGTGTGTGTGTGTGTGCGTTGACTTGCATGGGAAATATCAATGACTGAGCGTGCCTATCTCCCCAAAAAAGAAAAATAACTGAGTACAGAGAATTAAATTGCCAATGCAGAGAGGAGGAGCACATGTGCCAAAAATGATTATTATGGTGTTTTTTTGTTGTTTTCTCAGGGTATGATGAATAAGAATAGTCGTCATTGCAATTCTTTTGTGTGTGTGAATGTGCAAAAAATTAAAAAAGATAATTGTTTTGTTGCTGTTATTATTAGGAATCATTATTATAATTTAATGTCACTGTTATTATTGTTATTGTATGGTTTTCATTATATTTTTAGTTTATGATGAGGATGCTCTTCTTTTTCTCAGTTTTTCTTCTCATATTGTGGGAGAGAACTTTACTGTGCTGTGTGAGCACCGCTGTTGAGAATGGGAAGATGAAAACTTTTGAGAATATTTACATTTGGGGCTTCTTGAAGCGGGAGATTAAGCGCTTGAGGATTCGTTTGAGACTTAAGTACAATAAAATAATAGAGAGCAGCTATTCCACTTGATTTGAGTATTGTTGTGTTCACGTTTTTCTTGTCCGGAGATGAGGAAATTGTGGTGGGAGGAGATATTTCACTGTAATTATTGTTGTATGTTGCTAGGTTTTTTTTCTTCTTTCTTTTTGCTGAGCTTGCGGTTTTACAATGTTTTTGTTTTGTTTTTTGTTTTTTTTTTTAATTTTCTTATGTTTTGTTTTTAGTTGATACCGCTCTTTTTTATTTAAGTTTTGTTGTCGTTGTCTGAAGATCACGTTCACGATAATGCAACCCTTTTGGCCGGGACTAGATGAGTTAGACGTTATAATTGATTTATTTTAGGGGTTTTTCTTTCTTTTTTCTTCCGATCCGTTGTTGGTATTCCTTTTTCTCTCAAAAAAAAAAAAATCCGTTAACCGCTCAAACGAAACCAACACAACGATCGTTCTATTTTCGTAAAAAAAAATCAAAACGAAACACAATTCGATCCGATTCCCGTTTTCTAACGTAACACAGATACGTAACGATCGTTAGCTCACATATCTATCGACTGTGACTGGCTACGAAACGATCGTTGTCGTTTACCACTAATTTTGCTAGCTACTACCGCTGCTAGGCTACTACTACTACTACCACGACTAACACTACCAGCAGCAACAATAACAACAAAAACAACCGTAAACAACAACATCACCAACACCACAACTAACGCACACAGAAGAAATGAAATGAGTATGGCCCCCTCACCGTAAAACACCAACAATAACAGCAACAACAACAACGAGTAAAGAGTATATTCTTTCGACAAAAAAATTTAACTACATCAAAAGCAACAGCTATGGGGCATCGGAACACAATGACAGCGACGCAACGTCAGAAGCAGCAGCAGTAGCAGCAACAGTCATTCACTGACAACAGTACCCGACTCGACCGACATATACAAAAAAAATAAGTGTATCCCAAAAATAACCCCCTGCACATTAATTTCCTTACGGTTTGATGTTGTTGTTCTTGTTGTTCTTATACTTTGTTGGATGCTCTTCTAGACGTAGTCATTCTGTGTTTGCACAGTAGTTGTAGAGGGTCTAGAAATTGGTTGGAAAATTAATACGCATAGGAGATCTGAAGAAATGGTTCTTTTTAAGGGAGAGACGAAGGAGAAATTCGATATAGAATTGTTATAGAATAGGTTCGATCAGACGAATTACGTAGTTGACGAAGTTTTTGGGGACAAACCCATGGTAGAAGAATACAGGTGGAGGCCTCAACGCTTGGGAACATTGATATGTCAAAAAATTTTAAATGTCTTTTCAAATATAAGTAGATTTTTATATTTTTTCTTATACGACGTCATTCGGAGGTTATTATAATTCGCGTTTTTCAACAATTTTTACAAATTTAAATAATTTTTTATTAAATATTTAGAATTCCAAACTTGGTTTGACAGTTCATTGTCCCAGCAGCTGTGTCGATGCGACTACCTGTATTCTTCTACCATGGTTTTAATTTATTTAAATGAAATTGATGTGTGGCCACATAGTGTTAACATAAAGGTAATTGAAGTAGAGTACACATTATCGATCATTTTGCTAATTTGTTATAGTGGATATCGGTCGAACTTTTAATACCCTCCACTTGAAATATTTGAAAACCAGTAAAGGAAGTCTTAAAGTCGGGCGGGGCCCAAATAATTTAAAATCGGATAAAAATATGTATGGGAGCTATATCCAAATCTGAACCGATCTCGATAAAATTTGGCAAAGATATTTCTGAGCTGTATTTGATACATTTCCCTGAATATCGTTGTTACGGAGTGCGTATTACGGTTGTGGGTAACAAATACAATAAATCGGATGAACAATATATATGAAAGCTATAGCTATATCTGAACCGATCTTCACCAAATTTGACATACTAACTTCTAGACTAAATTCGATTCTAAGTGCCAAATTCCATCCCATTTGGACAAATATTAGACGTTTGGTGCACAATATAAGATAAATCGGACGAAGTTATATATGGGAGCTATATCCAAATCCGAACCGATATCGATAAAATTTGGCAAAGATATTTCTGAGCTGTATTTGATATATTTCCCCAAATATTGTTGTTGCAGAGTGCATATTACGGCTGCGGGGGACAAAAATAACAAATCGGATGAACAATATATATGGGAGCTATAGCTATATCTGAACCGATTTCGATCAAATTTGGCATACTTATTTTCAGGCCTAATTTGGGTGTATATGCAAAATTCCATTCAATTCGGACTGATATTACACGTTTGGTGCACAATAAAAGTAAATCGGACGAAGATATATATGGGAGCTATATCTAAATTTTGACCGATTATCTCCAATTTCAATTGGGTCTGTCCTTGGTCCAAACAAATGATCTGGTCCAAACAAATGATCTGGATTGGGTAATAAATGCGAACTGTACTCTGTTCACAAAAATACATGGACAGACGGAAAGACGGACGGACATGCATAAATCGACTCAGAATGTGATTCTATGCAGATAATTAAAAGGAACTATGGGTCTATCTCGTTTCCTTTTGCCTGTTACAAAGACATAAGACAAATGCACAAAGACATAATACCCTGACCACCTTGTGGTAGGGTATAAAAAATCGGAAAACTACCACTTAAATGAAAACCGTTATGTGGGGTCTATACGAAGAGGTGGACCAGCATACAAAAAATGTCTCAGGCTGTAGTACCCATTACGATATCGGGAGGTACCGTCATATGGTGGCTAAACGAAAACGTAGACCTGCATCCGAAATATTTTACCATAGGTTGTAATATTTATTAAGATTTTCAAATACAAAATTTGAAAAGATTCCGGTGAATAATGTCGCTAAAATCATCTAAACACCGAATATCAGGAGGTACCGTTATATGGTGGCTATACGAAGACGTGGACCTGCACAGATAATTTTCTGTCTTAGGCTGTAGTATTTATTACGAACTTCTAATATTAAATTTGAAACAATTCCGGTCAATAATGTCGCTAAAATCATCTAAATACCGAATATCAGGAGGTATCGTTATATGGTGGCTATACGAAGACGTGGACCTTCACAGACAATTTCCTGTCTTAGGCTGTAGTATCCATTACGAACTTCAAATACCAAATTTGAAAGAATTCCGATGAATAATGTCGCTAAAATCATCAAAATACCGAATATCGGGAGGTACCGTTATATGGGGGCTATACGAAGACGTGGACCTCCATAGACAATTTTTTGTCTTAGGCTGTAGTATTCATTTCGAACTTTCAATACCAAATTTGAAAGAATTCCGAGGAATAATGTCGCTAAAATCATCAAAATACCGAATATCGGGAGGTACCGTTATATGGTGGCTATACGAAGACGTGGACCTACATGGCCCATTTTCAAAACCAAAAGTCCTGCAGACATAATATACATTTGAGTAAAATTTTATCAAACTACTTCATTTCGTTCAGAAGCTAGAGTGATTTCCACAGACGGGCGGACATCGCTAAATCGCCATAAAATTTTATGATATTTGCTTCCGAATGAATTGAAGTAGATTTATAAAATTGTACTCAAATGTATATTATGTCTGCAGGACTTTTGTTTTTGAAAATGGACCATGTAGGTCCACGTTTTGGTATAGCCCCCATGCAACGGTACCTCCCGATATTCGGTATTTTGGCGATTTTTGCGACAATATTCATCGGAATTGTTTCAAAATTGATATTTGAAGTTCGAAATGAATACTAAATCCTTAGACAGAAAATTGTTTGTTAAGGTCTACGCCTTCGTATAGCTCCTATATAACGGTACCTCCCGATAATCGGTATTTTGGTGATTTTAGCGACGTTCGTACTGGAAGGTCTTAATGGGTACTAAAACCTATGGGAAAAAATTTGGTATGCAGGTCCACGTCTTCGTATAGCCCCCATATTACGGTACCTTCCGATAATCGGTATTTTGGTGATTTTAGCGACGTTATTCACCGGAATTGTTCCAAATTTCGTAATGAAAGATCTTAATGGGTAGTACAACTTATGGTAAAAAAATTGTGTATGCAGGTCCACGTCTTCCTATAGCCCTCAATAGACGGTACCTTCCGATATTCGGTTTTTTGATGATTTTAGCGACATCATTTACCGGAGCTATTTCAATTTTGGTATCCTAAGACAGAAAATAGTCTGTGCAGGTCCACGCTTTCGTATACCCCCCATACAACGGTACCTCCCGATAATCGGTATTTTGATGATTTTTGCGACATTATTCATCGTAATTGTAGCAAATATCATATTTGAAGTTCGCAATGGCCACTACAGCCTATGACAAAAAATTTCGTATGCAGGTCCACGTCTTCGTATAGCCCCCATATAACGGTTTACATTTAAGTGATACTTTTCGGATTTTTTTTTGGAAATTTTTTCAATTTCCTTCGAAATGGTGAAGGAGCTGTTTTTTACTTGTTTATTTTAATGTTGGCTCGAGTTCAGTAGAATAAAAAATATATAATTTTGTTTTTAATTTTTTATTTCCAATATTTCGAACGGAATTGCCGATTATCATCGAGGATTGAAATTTCTTATATTCTCAAAAATAATTTTACTTCCACATCAGCTTACAGAGATTTTCATTTTATTTATTTTCATTTAGGACCCACCCACTGTGCATTGCCTGCCTGATATTTAGTCGTTGGTTGGTTAATGTTGTCTGGTGTTGATTTTTTATTTTGGTGTTCTAAATGGTTTTTGTTATTTTTGTTTTTATTATTTTTTTCACTTGCTTCTCGAACTCAGTTTGTTTCAATATTCTACTTTTATTTTCTTTGTTATTGTTGTTGTGTTTTTTGAGAATTTCGATTTCATTATATGACGACTTGGTCGGTTTCAACGTCCATCCATTTGTTGAAAAAAAACACAAATTTTCATTTCAGACGCACACACACACACATGCAAATATCAATCTACCACCCAACCAGCCAGCCAGCCATCCATCCATCCATTTGTACGTTCATCTTCTTTCTATCCGCCGTTTGAATGGTTTTACGAACATCGCTGAGTTTGTGTTTTAAAAATAGTATTACAAACTGTTTTTTTCTTTTCAAAAATCATACCAACAACAACAACAATAAAAATAATAATAGCAACAGCAACAGCAAAATCATACCATGTACCGTTAATGCCTGCCATGCCATGCCATTCGTGTAAACACTTTACTCTCACTCTCTGCATGTGTTGTGTTGTGTTGTGTGTGTGTTTATATCATCTGCATACTAAAGTGCCACCCATGTGTGTGTGTGTGTGTTTGTAGTCTACTTTTTTTTGTTGCTTTCTTAAAAACAGCAGCCCATATCCACAATGTGTTCTATACTAAAAGAAAAACATTGATGTACCCATTCAACGATCTTTGTTGATCGTTAAAATGCCTGGCTGGCCGTTGGATGTTGCCTTTTGCCATTAACCAGCCAGCCAACCAACCAGACAGGCCACCAGGCTGCATTATACACATGTCTGTATGTATGTATGTATTTTTATATATAGACAACCAACGCACATCGTTTCAAGAGTCTAAATCATAACATTACTCTCCATACTTCGCCAGCAATAGCTAATCGTTTATAGTTCAGTTAGTCGTCGTCCTCCCCCTCCTC